CTAATAAAGTGGCCGGTGAGTGTATGTAGATTGTTTTCCTTCCATTTCACAATCACCGTCTAAAAATTCTTCACTTAGACCAGACCAATAATTATCAGATATGATGGAGCAAATGTTATGAATAAGGAGACACATGAACATCAAGCACAATCCTCTGCATTTGTCATTCAGAGGAAGAAGAAACCTCAGCTTGAAACAATAAACATGATTTCTACTTCCAGAAATAGCCAACCTTCTGCAGAGCAACAATGTTTATCATTCAAAATGTCTCAAGCATAATGTGTGCATACAGTGACATAGATCAGAACATAAATGTTTCTCTGAAGATGTGAGAAATAACCAGGAATTTAAAGCTGGATGTGTAGAGATGTTTATATAAATGCAGTTTGAGCAGCCTTAACACTGCAGTCCAACAGAACGCTTTGCGCCTCACACTCTGTCCTATTTCTGGCTGCTCAGAAAGGTCTGCAGGATTTCTCTGGAGATCTTCCCAAGCCTGTACAAAATTAAACAGTTGGAGCCTGCAGAGGCAGCCCAGTCACACCTCACAGAAAGAAGAGACTCTGCAGCCTAACTATGCCAGTATACTTCACTTAGAAGATTAAAGCACTACCTGTATATATATATATATATATATATATATATATATATATATATATATATATATATATATATATATATATATATTCTTTTTTCTAATTGCTATTTTGGTGATGGGATGTGATTAAAATTCCTAACTGATTTAATTGCAGGATCTTTCAGTAATTGATCGCATGTTAATCAAAACCATATATCAACAAAGTAAACTGCCCTTTCAACTAAAAAAAATTTATTTTCCTCAGTACAACTTTAAGGATTTAGCAACTCAGCATAAAGTATTACTTAACAAATGTTATTCAATGTGCAGCTTTGTGCAATTAAAACATTTGCTACCAAGGCTACCTTCTCTTGATGAGCCAATTACACAAATAATCCATTCCTGGTCCTACTTCCTGCCGCACTGCCAGCACTATTTGGATAGCCCCCCTTATGGGCGCTTCCCCCGTAGATTAGATGTTCAAACAGATTTTAGGTATTTGACTAAAGCCATGTTTGTTTTTAAAGGAATAGTACACCCAAAACATGATTAGCCTTCATTTTCTACTCACCCCCATGCTGAACAACACTCTGGAGTACTTTTTTGATATCTCAAATGTTTTTTGTGGACTTTTATGGACCTTTCTGTCTCGGGCACCATAGACCTCCATTATTTGAATGTCAGC